AGCAGCAGTAGCAGCAGCAGTTCGTAGCAGTAGCAGTAGCAGTAGCAGCAGGAGTAGGAGTAGGAGTAGGAATAGGTGTAGGAGTGGGATCAGGAATAGGAGTAGTAGTACAACAACTGATTCGGGAGGTTCCACAAAATTAGAGCTGGGGCCTGCGCAAGCAGAACTATGCTTTCAATTGCACCTGCATTCGTCCGGTTATATCCCTTCCAAGACTATCTGTGACAGGGCAGCAACATTCTCATCGGCGACGGCCACTCAACTGCACTCTGTCGACGCGCTGCATCTCTCTTTTGCCCTCAGGCCGTTGGCAAAGGTCCTGAAGCAAAGATGGTACTATGAAGTCGAGCTTGCACATGCATCCGAGCCCCCCAAAATCCCAAATGCCAGCAACCCCTGGCGAGAGCTCCAAGGAGGCTGTGTTCCCATGGTTTTTGCTTGCTACATGCCGTCCACAGACAGTTGAGGTTCGTGATTCCTCCACTTTTGTGCCATGTCTCATGCTACAGCCAATCTTGTACAAAAGAAAGTGCATTTGGAAACGGCTCAAACATGGCTCTCTGTATGAGGAGTCATGGTGACGCGGGTTTCTCGTCTCGGTTGCAAACGTGCGACTGTTCTCAATGTTGATCGGTTCTAGAGCTCTTACCCTACTCGACTGCAAACTTGCACTATGCACCGGGAACCCCGGTCGAAATGGCCGACATTGCTTCTACCGTGTCATCTCGACTTCTACGCTACATGAGCACAGCCCCAATTGCTACACCATCAATGCCTCATGCAGTCAAGCACTGTAATGTATCATGTGACTTACCCAGAGAGCCCAATACCCCGTAATTAAGGAATATAGCCTAAATTATAAGGGGCTTCACATTATGATTGAAGCTATATTCCTTAATTAAGGGATGTTGGGCTCTCTGGGTAGTATACTTTGAGCTGCAGGTGACACCGTGAAGCTGGCAGACTTCGGATGCTCCAAGCGAACGGACGACACCCTGACGCCGCTCGCCCGGAGAAATGCCAAAGGTTTTAGGGTTTAGGGTTTCGGATTTAGGGTATAGGGTTCAGGGTTCACGGTTTAGGGTAAGGTTTTAGGTTTCCCAAAATGGCCATGGCTCCCTGAAGCCTCCTCGTGGTATCCCGACAAACCTGTTATCAGTCAGCACGCCTTCGGAGCTATAGAGTTCTAGTTGAAGGAGGGTTTGCCTTAAGACTTTGGCGCGTGTATGCAGGCCTTCTCTTAACACGTGTGGAAACGCCTGGGTCTGCTGTTGGGGTACTAGCAACACGATACCAGCAAAACAAACATCAGGTGCCAGTCTTCAAAAATCGACCCCTGCAGGACACCAAGCATGAAGCAAGACTGCGGGAAATACGTAGCAGCCCGTTACCCATTCATACCGGTTCCCATGCTGGGGGCCTGTGGGGCCAGGCACACCATGCGCGGATCCATCCCCTGGATGGCTCCAGAGGCAGCTGGGTGCATAAGGTGTAGGGTTTATACTATACCATAGTATGCTATACTATACTACTATACTATACTATATTGAGACTGAAGTAAGACTAAAGGCAACTATACTAAGACTAAAGTAAACCATACTACACTGTGCCATTAAGGGCTTGGAGGGTTGTGTTGGTTCTTGGGGTTCAAGTTCACGGCGCCGAGTTTGTGACAAGGCAAGAAGTTCAGGGTTTCTGACAGGAAGGGCTGCTTAGGGTTTAGGGTTTAGGGTTTAGGGTTTAGGTCTGTAGGGTTTCAATTTTAGGGCTGTTTAGGATTTAGAGTTCAGGGTTTAGGGTTTAGGAGGCTGTTTAGGGGCTAAGCTTCTGGGGTTCGGCTTGTCGACTTTCTGGGAAAACGGTCAGTATTGCGAGGAGATCTCTAAACCCCAAACCCCTTTACATGTCTGTGAGCAGATCACGGGTTCGGGTTTTGGTCTAGACCTGAACCGTCGTCATCGCAACACCACAGCTATCAACGGCAGCTCCTGCAACAGCAGCAATGCGGGCTGAGATGTCTGCGAAGAAGTAGCAGCTCGATAGCCCCTCCCTTCTCGTAACTTTCCTAGGCACTTGCTTGCTGATGACTTCACGTGAGAGACAATGCCTGCTCCGCAAGTGTCTTGCCAAAGTAGATTGAGGACTCCAGCCTAGAGGAGCCATGAAGGCAACAGCACAAGCCCCCCGACCTGAAACCCTCGAGGATTGGTTTCTTCTCGTCCCACATCTGCTCGCAGAGGAAGGTTGGCAGACCCTCGTCCAGAAACCTTCCTCCGCACTCCTGCAATCCAGCAGTCCTTGGGGTGACACTTTGATCAAATACGTGCTTCACGACGTTGTGGTCCTACATCCTCCAGAAGATCCTGCCTACTTGTTGGCCCGGCCAGAAACAAGAGCGTGGAGCTGTGACTGCGAGCCTGATCCAGCAAGTTTGGGAGAGATTCGTGAAGTAAGAGAAATCCTGAGTCCAGGGGCATGCTTCGAGAAGTTCTGGACGGACTGGCCATGGATCCGGCTTTGTGACACTTTGTTTGGTATCTTACACTCGCAGCACCCGTGTGGCAACCTATGTTTTGGGCATGCAGCACTGCCCGTGACAACAATTGAACGGGTAAGACGGAACTTTCCAGATAAGGGTGACTGCTCTCTCACTTGGAGCGATCAAAGCAACCCTTTGGTGTGCACGTTGCTTTGTCGCATGCAAAAGACTGGGAACTACACGATGCATTTTGTCATGGGCACCTTAGCACCCTTCCAGATGCCCGTTTGGGCAGCTGATGCTCTTCGACTCGTACTAGATGCCTTCAGATGCCAGGCTATTTGCTACTTGAACAGGCCACAGCTGCTCCTGGAGCGGGAGAGGGATAGGACGCTCTACATGGTGCTCAACATGGCCAGCTTTGGCAGCAGGCCACCTTTGATCCCTGCTCTGGGTGAGGAGACGGGCGTCAAGGAGGGGCCGCTGACCAAGATCGAGGCTGGCATCGAGTTGGGGCTCTCAACGTGGGTTGCTTACGACCCCGCCATGATGGGCAATGATGCGTTCCGCTTGTCGGAGTACCTCTGCCTCTTCTTCCGAAGAATCAGTGTGCATGTGCACACATATCAATCCCTGGATGGGCAGGAGTTGCTGCCGTATCAGTGTGTAGTGCAGCGGGAGGAATGGTACGTGGCCAGAGATCGCTTCAAGGTAACATTTGGTCTGCAGAAAACTGCATACCGGCGTGCCAACGGTGGAACATCAACACCGAGGTTGGTCGAGGAAAGCATACCACGCTTTTGTCATGAAGTGGTCGCGAGCTGTCAGAATCAGGCTAGACTTGCATCGGACGACTGTGAGCTAGTGGTGCACAAGACCTTCCTCGAACTCCCAGACGACGTGGGACTTGGCATGCGCGTTGCAGATAGAAGACGCGGTCGCTCAGTATCACCTGTTCGCTAAGGCATGTCGGCGTTGCGACAGAAAGTAGCCGACATGTCGAACTTGAGGCTTAGTTTCGTAGTTTCAAAGACTAGACGAATTCCTGACACTGCACGCCTTCTGTAAAGACGAGTAAAGATCCATGGTATAGCTAGCAAATGACACCCCCTGAGGTTGTACAGGCCCAATGAGGGTAAGTTGAATAGGGGGACCCAGAGAGCCCAATACCCCTTAATTAAGGAATATACCTGAAATCATAAGGGGCTTCATATTATTATAATTATTAGTGTCATTATTATGGTTTAAGCTATATATTCCTTGATTAAGGGGTATTGGGCTCTCTGCAAATGTCGGGCTTTGCGAACCTCGCAGCTTGAACAGCGGGAAGGAGCGCTGCGCGATGGTGAGTATTGTGCACACCCTTGTACAGATCTGGGGGTTTCCGAAAATTAGGGTACCTTATTTTGGGGTCCTTATAATAAGGATCCTATTATTTAGGGTACTATATTAGGGTCCCCTATTTTCGGAAACTCCCATCTGTGCANNTGTGCACAGCATCGCAGCATAATATAGGGGCCTTAGTGAATACCAATACTACTATTATGCGGGTTCCTGATAGTGATTTTAGTAATTATAAGGTACCCCTAAAAACCCCATTCTCTTGTCTCAGGCCCCCATAGTACAGCGTGCACCCGCGAGATGCCAGCCTGACAGGCAGTGACAAGTAGGCATTGGCCTAAAAAGGAACACTTCGGCCTGCGACCGCCCCTTGCTTGGGGTTTTAGGGTTTTGGACCTACATTCCTACATTTCGGGTTTAGGGTTTTAGGGTTGAGGACCATGCATGATCACTGCAAAGTACTACGTGGGTCACAACATGCTCGGATTTTCCTGATGCGAATACATCCGATCCATTCTTTACATGGAATCAAGTTGAAACTACGGCAACCTTTGCGGCATCTGCTGCTGCAGGTTTGTCTGCTTTTGCCCGTAATGCTTCTACGACTTCAACAGGCGCCGGTGACGACATTCGCGATGCAGCAATTTTTTGCGACACGATTTCGAGATATCTTTCCAGAGTATGGGGGGGGGGGGGGGGGGGG